ATAGAGCGGCTGCTGTCGAGGCAAGAATTGTAGGCCCTGAGGTTGAAACGAATGGAGAACACGTTCTGCCCGGACTTCAGGATATCCGTGACGAACGAGCCCAGGGCTGCGTCGCGTTGAGGGCCAGTCTGCCCATGCCATAACGGCAAAGAGCCCGCGGCCTCCACGGCCTGCAACGCTTTCATCACAGCCCCGCCGTTGAACGTTTGTAGCAGGGAGACTAACTGCACTTGCACATCGCTCTGAACGCCCATGCTCTGCCACCTGCCGACGAGCGACCCGACCGATTTAAACCAAGCGTCGTCGGTGTGAAACCAATTGTGGCTATGCATTGAAATGCGAGGTCGCCGTTACGGCCAAAGACAGCCTGGTGGAACGAAGGGGCGTCATGGCGGAATTGGTTCCTCGTAGAAATGAGCCTCAGAAACATCGCAGGCGAAAGTGATCTGGATTCCCAAGAGATCACGTGCTGGAGAGGGTCGATGCCTAATCTGGCGAACTCTCTCAAGAAAGCCCATGATACCATTAGCTTTGGCAACAACTCGACGATATCTGATACGTCGCCCCCGTATAATAAGCATATCTGTTTCCGTTTCAATGACAACACTGTTTCCTTCCCGCGGGGCTTGCTGCGGACCAGTGGATTGTACTTGCGTTCTGTCCTGTCGCTGACGCCCCCCTTGGAGGCAATGGCTTTCAGAGTTTTCCCGGTCGCGCGCATCTGGTCGGTCACAGGGCGGCGTCCACGTCTCGCTGTGGAGGGGACTTTCTGCTCCGATCGCATACTGTAGAATCGTTTCGCAGATGTGCTATATTCCTGCCGATGTCCTTTGTCCACGCTTCGCTCAGGACTTCGCGGGGGATCCAAAGCGGATTGGACCCCATTGCGTCCGAATGCACTGCAAAACAAATGGTGATGTGAGTCCACCAAAAAAGAAATCCTGGAAGACACATGCCGACGCGCATAAACGACACTCCGGCCTTGTCTGGGCCAATATGGTTCCGGACACGAATGGCGAAGAGGAGCTGCAGCAGCAGCAGCAGCAGCAGCAGCAGCAGCAGCAGTAGTAGTAGTAGTAGTAGTAGTAGTAGTAGTAGTAGTAGTAGTAGTAGTAGTAGTAGTAGTAGTAGTAGTAGTAGTAGTAGTAGTAGTAGTAGTAGTAGTAGTAGTAGTAGTAGTAGTAGTAGTAGTAGTAGTAGTAGTAGTAGTAGTAGTGTGGTAGTGGTAGTGGTAGTAGTAGTAGTAGTAGTAGTAGTAGTAGTAGTAGTAGTAGTAGTAGTAGTAGTAGTAGTAGTAGTAGTAGTAGTAGTAGTAGTAGTAGTAGTAGTTGTAGTAGTAGTAGTAGTAGTAGTAGTAGTAGTAGTAGTAGTAGTAGTAGTAGTAGTAGTAGTAGTAGTAGTAGTAGTAGTAGTAGTAGTAGTAGTAGTAGTAGTAGTAGTAATAGTAGTAGTAGTAGTAGTCGTAGTCGAGTAGTAGTAGTAGTAGTAGTAGTAGTAGTAGTAAGTTAGTAGTAGTAGTAGTAGTAGTAAGTAGTAGTAGTAAAAGGACTAGTCGTAGAGGTAGTAGTAGTAGTAGTCGTAGTCGTAGTCGTAGTAGTAGTAGTAGTAGTAGTAGTAGTAGTAGTAGTGATAGTGTAGTGAGTAGTAGTAGTAGTAGTAGTAGTAGTAGTAGTAGTAGTAGTAGTAGTAGTAGTAGTAGTAGTAGTGGTAGTAGTAGTAGTAGTAGTAGTAGTAGTAGCAGTAGCAGTAGCAGTAGCAGTGATAGTACTAGTACGACTAGTAGGATTAGTAGTGGTAGGAGAGCGACCGCAAACTCAGAGTGAGAGCGAAATCAAACGCCAAGCCGTTATCAGTGCTCCTGCTGCAGCTGGCCCGCGTACCCTTGAGACGACATGCCACGAGCCAAAATGGCTACAACATCGGGGGGCGGAGGGGGCGGAAGCCCTACGGCCCTACGAGGGCCCCTGCAGGACAGACCTCATGAAGACCTCGAGAGGCCGCGGACACCCGACGCCGATTTCGGCACACCCCTCCCGCGGATCGCGGGCGCTGCAGCTGGCCCGCGCGCCCTTGAGCCGACATGCCACGAGCCAAAATGGCTACAGCATCGGGGGGCGGAGGGGGCGGAAGCCCTACGGCCCTACGAGGGCCCCTGCACGACAGACCCCCAGAGACCTCGAGAGGCCCAACGACCCGACGCCAATGTCGGCACACCCCTCCCGCGGATCGCGGGCGCTGCAGCTGGCTCGCGTACCCTTGAGCCGACATGCTACGAGCCAAAATGGCAACAGCATCGGGGGGCGGAGAGGGCGGAAGCCCTACGGCCCTACGAGGGCCCCTGCAGGACAGACCCCCAAAGACCTCGAGAGGCGCCGCGGACACCCGACGCCGATTTCGGCACACCCCTCCCGCGGATCGCGGGCGCTGCAGCTGGCCAGAGTACCCTTGGGCCGACATGCCATGACGCAAGATGGCTACAACATCGGGGGGCGGAGGGGGCGGAAGCCCTACGGCCCTACGAGGGCCCCTGCACGACAGACCCCCAGAGACCTCGAGAGGCCCAACGACCCGACGCCAATGTCGGCACACCCCTCCCGCGGATCGCGGGCGCTGCAGCTGGCTCGCGTACCCTTGAGCCGACATGCTACGAGCCAAAATGGCTACAACATCGGGGGGCGGAGAGGGCGGAAGCCCTACGGCCCTACGAGGGCCCCTGCAGGACAGACCCCCGAAGACCTCGAGAGGCGCCGCGGACACCCGACGCCGATTTCGGCACACCCCTCCCGCGGATCGCGGGCGCTGCAGCTGGCCCGCGTACCCTTGGGCCGACATGCCACGAGCCAAGATGGCTACAGCATCGGGGGGCGGAGGGGGCGGAAGCCCTACGGCCCTACGAGGGCCCCTGCAGGACAGACCTCATGAAGACCTCGAGAGGCCGCGGACACCCGACGCCCATGTCGGCACACCCCTCCCGCGGATCGCGGGCGCTGCAGCTGGCCCGCGTACCCTTGGGCCGACATGCCACGAAGCAAGATGGCTACAACATCGGGGGGCGGAGGGGGCGGAAGCCCTACGGCCCTACGAGGGCCCCTGCGGGACAGACCCCTCGGGTGGCGCCAAGAGCTAAGGAGCGGCAGCGGCCGCAGCGGCAACAGTGAATCTCCTTGAACCTCGAGTGGCAACTCAAAAAGTCCCAGTCCCCGCATGGTCGAGAATGCCACCAGACCTCTGGGCGTGGGTGATCTACGGCGGTCTCTCTTCGAACCCCCATCTTCCCCTTCGGGGTGGGATGTACTCCTCCCCCTACGCCGCTCGCTGGATCTGGATTGGGCGCCAAGAGGACCCCCAGAGAGCTTGGACGACGGTCCGCGAAGCACCAACGTAAGGTGAGAACCCCGGGCCCCAAGAGGGCCCCAAGAGGGCCCCAAGATGGCTCCGTTTTGCGGCCGGCTCGGGCATCTGTGGGCTCGCTCTGGGGCCCTCTTGGGGCCTCCTCGGGGATCTCTTGGGCAGTGCGGGGGCTTTCTTGGGCCGCCCGGGGGCCCCCATTGGGGATTGGCGAACGCGGGGAAAGAATTATGCCAAAAAATCGTCCCACGTAGAAAACGGCATAATTATTTTCCTGCGATTTGCAGCACAGAATTGCCTTCGCAAGGGCCCCGGAAGGAGGGGGCAAACCGCGCCGGACCCCCCGGGGGGGGCGCGTGAACCGTCTGAGCCCTCTTGGGGTGTTCGTCGGCTATGTGAAAACTCTTCAACTCTTCTAGCACAGCTGACGCATGTCGAGCCTTGCCGCCAGAGTTGGCCGCAAGAGGCCCCCCGAAGGGCCCCAAACAAGCCGCAAGAGGATGCAAAACAGCCACAAGAGGGCCCCAAGAGAGCCCCAAGAGGCCCCGATGAGTGCCCCAAGAGGACCACAAGAGGCCCCCCAGAGGCCCCGCTCGGAACCCTGAGGCGAAGCGGCACCAGGAAATCCAAACACATGTTGTGGAAGATCCGACTCCGCTCCCCGACTCTGCTCCCCGACTCCGCTCCCCGACTCTGCTCCCCGACTCTGCTCCCCGACTCTGCTCCCCGACTCCGCTCCCCGACTCTGCTCCCCGACTCCGCTCCCCGACTCTGCTCCCCGATTCCGCTCCCCGACTCTGCTCCCCGACTCCGCTCCCCGACTCTGCTCCCCGACTCTGCTCCCCGACTCCGCTCCCCGACTCCGCTCCCCGACTCCGCTCCCCGACTCTGCTCCCCGACTCCGCTCCCCGACTCTGCTCCCCGACTCCGCTCCCCGACTCTGCTTCCCGACTCTGCTCCCCGACTCTGCTCCCCGACTCTGCTCCCCGACTCTGCTCCCCGACTCTGCTCCCCGACTCTGCTCCCCGACTCTGCTCCCCGACTCAGCTCCCCGACTCTGCTCCCCGACTCTGCTCCCCGACGTCTCCGACGTCTCCGACGCCAACGCGGGGACACTTGGATCACGATCCAAGTGTGTCCCCACACCTCCCCCCTAATCTTCTCCGAGTCTCCTTCCTCTGCCTTCCCCCGTCCTCCCCCTCAACGACTTGGATCGCGATCTAAGTCTTCCATGGTAGGAGGAACACTTGGATCGCGATCCAAGTCTTCCATGGTAGGAGGAACACTTGGATCGCGATCCAAGTGTTCTGGGATCGTGATTTCAGTCATTTTCCCCTGCCCCTGCCCCTGCCCCTCCCCGTCCTCCGCCTCCTCCTCCTCTTCTTCTTATTATCCTTATTAGTATTATCATTATGATGTGTCTTATTATTATTAGTTTTATTGTTCGTATTCTTAATATCAGTATTATTGTTATTATTCGTATTATCATCAGCATTATAAGTATGACTCCTACTACTACTCTTTTTCTTCCTCCTCCTCCTCCTCCTCCTCCTCCTCCTCCTCTCCTCCTCTTCTCCTCCCCTTGTCCTCCTCTTCTCCTCCTCTTCTCCTCTTCTCCTCCTCTCCTCCTCCTCCTCTTCCTCCTCTTCCTCCTCCTCTCCCCTCCCCCCGCCCTCCGCTCCTGTCGAGGGGCGCTCCCGGCCCGCCGCCCGCGGGGGGGGCGGGGTGGGGGAGGGAAGGGCCGGCTCAGCAGCAGGTCCTCTTGGGGCGCTCCCTGCTCGACTTGCCCTGCTTGCCCTGCGAGGGGCCGGCAGGGCGGAGGGGGGGGGGGAGACCGGGCAGGGACTCTTCCTACGACAGGAGACTGGCCCAAAAACGACAGCCGTGCCCCTAGGACATACAAGCGACGCGTGAGAGCGCAATGGAAACCTGTGAGAGCACTGCGCGCAAACCACGAAGGGTTAGTAGAGCATGTTTTGGTGGGCTCATGAACAGACCAGGACGCCTCGCCACAGCTTGAGACGAGGAGAAGTTCTGGAATTCACAGATGCTCTCCTCTCGGGCAATCGAGGGGGCCCCCGCGGCCAGGGAGGGGGCCCTCCTGCATCCGCAGGGGGCTCTCGTGAGAGGAAAGCGGCGACGACGAGGACGACGGTAACGACGGAGGGGTGGATGTTGAGCAGGGACCGATCTTTCCAGCATTCCCATAGGCCTAGCACGACATGTTGATAGAACCCACGAGTGTCCTAGAAAGGTTCTGAGAACCCCTTGGGCCGCCTTCTGAGGAGGCCTGCCCGCACTCACTTCCCCCCTCGGCGCGCCGCCAAATTGGTTTTCGGGTCATACCTCGGCTCTCCGGCGGCCGTTCGGGGCGACCCGGGCACCCTCGGAACGCCCTCGGCGAGGCGCGTGCAGGACCTCGTTCGGGAGCGTCGGATCAGAGTCAGGTGCGCCGAAGAGAGGGGCGCATCGGAACTCGAGGCATGTGCCCAGACGACGGGAGGCCAGAAGAAGAGGCCACGAAACCCAGGAAGCGCAGCTCGAGGCTGGGACCGCCCGAAGACCACCCGCCTCGAACCCGAATCCTCCCCCTGGCCCCGCGGCGAGAGGTGAAGGCCGTGGCCGTCGGCGACGGGCAGCGAGGAGGGGGGCGCCAAGGCCACGGGCGGGGCGCGCGCCGCCGCCCGCACCGGGTGGCAGCCACCCCGACTTCGATCCGCTCCGCTCCGCAGCGGGCAGCTCGACGACGGCGACGGCAACGGCGACGGCGACGGCGACGGCGACGGCGGCGGCGGCGACGACAGCGGCGACGACGGCGGCGGTTGCGACGACGACCGCGCCGACGACGGCGACGGCGACGGCGACCGCAGCTCGAGAGGCCCCCCCCTGAGGGCACGGGGGACGGTCTCCGAGAGGCGCGAGGCCTCCCGGACTCGGGGGCGCGCAAACATCCGGCCGCTCCACTCCTTTCGAGGCGTGGGTCCCCAAAGGTCTGGACCCCTTCCCCATGGCCGGTGTATCGTCCTGAATCGGGTTACGACGGTCCCGGCGAGGGCCCCCGGCGGCCGAATACGGCGCGTCGGATCTCTGGGGAGGTAGGCAGCAGCAGCAGCAGCAGCAGCAGCAGCAGCAGCAGCAGCAGCAGCAGCTCGGGCGGCCCGAGGATTAGCGATCCATGGATTCAGCGTGCGGTCGCCAAATCCATGGATCGTGGGAGGTGCCCTCCCCAAAATGCGGCTGGTGCCGCCTCGTTCGGCGGCGGAGATCCCACGGAAACGGGACCCGTCGCTAATCCACGCCCCCTTGATCCATGTTTGCGCTCGCCTGACAGACGGGGATTTCCCTGAGATCCGGGCGGCTCGTTTGTTTTTCCCCACGCGGCTTTCTTTTTGCAGGGCCTCGAGTCCGAAACCATCACAGATCGACCTGGCCCAACAAGAACAGGCATCAAAATGGGTTCGGGGCCCATTGTGTGATTTGTTCCGCGATGTTCCACCTGTTTCCAAATAGGCTTGGAGTCCCACCTGCGTGCGTAAAGAACTGATCCACCGTCCACCTCCCTCAGACTTGCACTTGCATCGTCTGAATGTCAATGTCTTCCGCTGCTACTGGCTTCATCGACTATTCCTCTATGATCCCTGTAAGAAGTTTTAGCCTACAAACATGTATACGATGCCTATGGGATATCAGGACAATCGTATGAGCTCCACTCGAATTTCATGGGATTCATATGGGTCTCCTGTCAGAGCCCAACAAGATCCCAGAAGGATCGCATCGTAATCGTGAGGGTCCCTATCGCATCTTGTCGGAATCGTGCAGGATGCCTACGTGGTCTCATAGGAGCCACTCACAAAACCCATAGCATCGCATGGGAATCGAACAACTGTCATATAGGTTGGCAGAGGCGCCGTAAGGGTTTCCAACAGAACTCATAGGCGGCATCCGTGGGAGTGCATAAGGTTCCTGTAGGATCCCACGGAGATCGCATTGAGCCCTCTAGGATTGAATCGGACTCGTAGATATTATTGCATCATGTCATCGGGATAGTATATGAGTATGCACCTTTCCTGTAGGAATCGAATCGGATCTCATCGACATACTACAGGATTATGGTAGGACGTCATTGGAATCCCCTGGGTTCTGTCTGGGATCTCACAGGAATCGTAGAGGACTCCTCCAGGATCCCGATGGTATCCCATAGACCCCGCATGGGAGTCATCTGGGATATTATGGGAACCGTCGAAGGTTCCCATGGGATCTCATAAGGACCATATAGGAGTCATATAGGATCCCATGGGGTTCGTATATATATATATATATAAAGTCGAGTAAGGTAGATTGTAGTAGAGTCGGGTCGAATAGAGCACTATCCAATCTACTCTATTCGACCTTCTACACTATTCTAGTCTGCTCCACTCAATTTTACCCTACCCTGCCTTAAGATACGCCCGCTCTACTCTAAGGCTTTGGGGATATGGAATGATGCTGAAGATGCAGGGCTAGCCCACCGTGCTGCCGGGCATGCCCAGGGAAGGGGGGTCAGGTTTAAGGGAGAGCGGCGTGCTTTTAGTTTGTGGTGTTGCTGGTGTGCCAAAGTAGCTGGCCTAGAGAAGTCTAGCTCCATCCTTAGAGAGAGTGAACTGGTCCACTGCTGCCCCTCCCAGTTTGCCCCTAATGTTTGCAGTTACGTGCATCCCCTGCTTTGCCCCAACTGGCTTCCTCTGCTATTGCAATGGCATGCTTTGCTATTGCATTGGCTCCCTCTGCTACGACCCAATATCGACAAAACAATCGTCATATTCGAATGGAGTAGAGTTTGGCAGGGTAGGATCGAGCACAGCACAGCAGCGTAATGTAGACGTTGTATGCTCGAGTAGAGTGCCTTAGGGTGCACTAGAGTATAATTGGAATCGAATAGAGCAAGCAAGATTCGAGTAGACTCGCGTGTTGAGCAGATTCGAATTCGGTAGGGTTGAATTGGTTTAGTCGGGTACGGCAGAGTGGGGTCAGGATGTGGTTGGAGCAGGTTCCAGCAGATAGGGGGAGGGCAGAGTTATGGTTAGAGATAAGGTCAAACAAGGCAGGGAAGAGCAGGGTAGGTGAGAATAGGGCAGGCTATATCACGGTGGCATAAGGTCGTCGACTGGTATTGGTGAGGTTTGGGTGCAGTGGGGTAGGGTAGAGTAGGCCATAATAAAATAGAGTGGGACCGATGGTGAAGTCGAGACGGCGATTATAGAGTACAATAGACTGGACCAGGATAGAAACGAGTATACGCACATAGTAAAGCATAGCATGATAGAGCAGGTCAGGCTATGTGAATGATAGGCGCAACAATAGAATACGACAGCGTAGATCACGGCATGAGCACCACAGAGTAGAGAGGATCAATATATGGTAGATCAGAACACGTATACTAGAACACATCACAATCGCCATCTAGCAACCGCTGAAGAGGCTGCGGATAACTACTATGCCAAACACTTCTCGCTGCTGGTAGATGATTTGTTACATGCCTAGGCATACTACGGCTGCGCACACACACACACACACATCACACACATCCCATTACTGGTGCATGGGTTACGGGCAGGCACCGGTGCAGTCTTTCTCCTTCAATTAACAATGGTGCGAATGATTGCAGTCGTGCTAAGTGTTGACGTTGCTAGCCGAACTGCCCACTACGCCTACAGTCACAAGGAAAACGACCAAAGCCAGCAAAGCCACGCTACTGCGACTAGGATCACTGCCGCCGCTGCTCGCACTACAAAGTACAACCATCATAGCCACTACTACAACCATTGCCACTGCCAAAGCTCGTGCCAATGTCACTAGCGTGCGACACTGCGGCTGAAGCTACTGTGACTGCGACTGCCATTGCAACTGCGGCTGCCACTGCACCCCCTGCGTTCTCACTGTTCGGTCCCCTACGCTCGCGGGCAGGCCTCGTGAAACCGCGGTCCTGGAGTCACCAGACGGGCACTAAGGACACTACTTCTCCCAGGCGAAACAGGGGCGCCTCGCGGCCGAAGAGAGAGGAGGAGAAGGAGGAGGAGGAGGAGCAGACGGGCACTAACAACACGCCTGGCAAAAGAAGGCACTCGGCACAGAGAGCCAACGGGCGCGCCTTCTTGGACTTCGTGCCCTTCGCACCGCCGTGGTGGGCGTCCTGAGTCCAGCGGAGGCGGGGCGTAGTGCAGCAACACCGAGATCGATCCGATATGGACAAATACATACACAAAATGTATATGGAGAGATGCGTACCCTTGCACTCACACACACACACCCGCAGAGGGTACGGACAAAAGCACAACGATCAAAAACGGCACTTACGCGAGATGACAAAGATGCCTTCCTTACGCGCGCCGCCAGCGCGGCACGCTGCACTGTAGACGAGGGCGCTTGCGCGTCGTCGTCGCTGACGTCGTCGTCGTCGTTACCGTCGCCGCCGGCATCGTCGTCGTTGTCGTCGGCGTCGCCGTCGCCGTCGTGCTCGTCGTCGCCACTGTCGTCGTCGCCGTCCTCGTCGTCGTCGCCAACACCGTCGAAGTCGTAGTCGACGACGCCGTCGTCACCATCGCAGTCGTCGTTATCGTCAACGCCGTCGTCGTCATCGTTGTCGTCGCTGTCGTCGTCGACGTCGTCGTCGTGGTCGCAATCGTTATCGTTGTCGTCGCCGTCGTCGTCACAGCCGCCATCGTCGCCGCCATCGCCTTTGTAGCCGCCTCCGCAGCCGTCGTCAGCGTCAACTTCGTCGCCGTCGTCGCCGTCGTCGCCGCCGCTGCCACAATCGTCGTCGTCGCCGCCGTGGTCGCTTTCGTCGCCGCAGGTCGTCCTCGACGTCGTCGGCATCGTCGTCGTAGTCGTCATCGTCGTCGATGTCGCCGTAATCGTCGTCGCAATCGTCGTCGACAATGTCATCGCCATCGTCGTCGCTGTCGCCGTCGCCAACGTCGTCGTCGTCGCCGTCGTCATCGTCGCCGTCGCCGCCGACGCGAATGCCGTCGTCACCGTCGTCGTCGTCGTCGTCGTCGTCGTCGTCGTCGTCGGCACCGTCGCCACCGTCGTCGGCATTTTAGTCGTCGTCGCCACCGTCGTCGTCGTCAACACCATGACGTCGGCAACGTCGTCCGCAGTCATCGTCGTCTTCGTCGTCGTCACCGTCGTCACTGACATCGTTTCCGTCGTCGTCACCGTCGTCGCCGTCGTTAACGTCATCGTCGTCTTCGCGGCAGTCGTCGTCGCCACACTCGCCGTCGTCGTCATCGTAAGCGTCGTCGCCGTCGCCATTGTCGTCGTCGTCGTCGTAACCGCCGTCGTCGTCGTCGCCGCCATCCTCGTCGTCGTCGCCGCCGTCGTCATCGTCATTGATAGCTGTCGTCGTCGCCGTCGTTCTCGCAACAGTCGTCGTCGTCGTCGCCGTCGTCGTCGTCGTCTTCGTCGTCACCACCGTCGTCGTCGTCGTCGTCGTCGCCGTCGCCGTCGCTGCCGTCGCCGCAATTGCCGTCGATCGCCGCCGTCAGCGTGATCGTCGTTGTCGAACTTGTATTCTTCGTCGCCGTCGTCGTGGTAGTTGATGTCGCCTTCGTCGTCGTCGTCGTCGTCGTCGACATCTTCGAAAGTTTGTCGCCTTCGTCAAGGCCGTCATCGCCAACGTCGGCTTCGTTATCGTCGCCGTCGTCGTCGCCACCGTGGTCGCCGCCGTGGCTGTGGTCGCTGCCGCGGTCGTCGTCGCAAGCGCCTCCGTCGTCGTCGTCGCCGCAGTTGTTGCCGTCGTCGTCATCATAGTCGTTGTCGTCGCCGTCGTCGTCGTCTGAGTCGTCGTCGTCTTCGTCCTCCTCAATGACGTCGCCGACATCGTCGCCACCGTGGCCGTGGTCGTCGCAAGAATGTCGTCGTCGTCGACGCCGCCGTCGCCGTCTCCGTCGCCGTTGTCGCCGTCGTCGCGGTCGTGCTCGCTGCCGTCGGTGTCGCCGCCTTCGTCATCGCCGCCGTCGCCATCGTCGCCGTCGTCGCCGTCCCCGTCGCCGCCGTCAACGTCGTCGTAGTCACCGTCGCCGTCGTTGTCGTCATGATTGTCACCGTCGTCGTCGCCGCCGACGTCAACGGAACGTCGTCGACGTCGTAGTCGTGGTCACCGTCGTCGTCGTCGCCGTCGTCATCGCCGTCGTCGCCCTCGTCGTCGTCGTCGCCGTCGTCGTCGTTCGCGGCCGACGTCGCTGTCGTCGTAGTTGTCACCGCGGTCGTCGTCGCCGCCGTCGCCGTCGTCGTCGCCGTCGTCGTCGTCGCCGTCGTCGTCACCGTCGCCGTTGTCGCCGTCGACGTCGTCGAAGACATCGTCGGCGTCGTCATCGTCCTCGTCGTCGACGTCGTCCTCAACGTCGCCATAAACGTCGCCGTCACCGTCAGCCTCGTAACGTCATCGCCGTCGCCGTCGTCTTCGCCGTCGTCGCCGTCGTCGTCGTCGTCGTCGCCGTTGTCGTCGCCCTCGTCGCCACCGTCGTCGGCGTCGCTGCCGCGGTCGTCGTCGCGGCCGCCGCAGTCGTCATCGTCGACGTCGTCGCCGTCGTCAGCGTCATCATCGTCGTCGCCGTCGACGGCATCACCGCTGTCGGCTGCGTCGCCGCCTCCGACCTCGTCGTCGTCAGTCGCCGTCGCCGTCGTCGTCGCCGTCATCACCGTGGTCCTCGTAACGTCGTCGTGGTCGCTACCGTCGTCGTCGCCGTCGGCGCTGTCGGTGTCGCCGTGGTCATCGCCGTCGTTGTCAAGGTTGTCGTCGCTGCAATCGTCTTCATCGGCGTTACTGTTCGCGTCATCACCGGCGCCTACGTCGCCGCCGCCGGCGTCGCGGTCGTCGTCGTCGTCAACATCGCCACTGTAGTCCTCGTAACAACATCGTTCCCGCTGGCGTCGTCGTCGCGGTCGTCGTCGCCGCCGAAGTCGCTGTCGTCGTCGTAAGAGTCGTCGCCGTCGTCGTCGCCGTCGTCGCCGTTGTCGTCGTCGTCGCCGTCGACGTCGTCGTCACTGTCGTTGTCGTTGTCGTTGCCGAACGCCATCGCCATCAACATGTAACATGACCGTCCGCGTCGTCGCTGTCTTTGTCGTCGTCGTCTCCGTCGACGTCGTCGTCGTCGACGCCGTCGTCGTCGTTCACGTCGCAATCGTCGTCGTCACTTTGTTTGTGCCAGACGTCGTCGCTGCCGCCGTCGTCATCGCCGTCGTCGTTGCCGCCGTCACCGTCGCAAGAGCCGACGTCGTCGACAACGTCAACGTCGCCAGCGCTGTCACCGTCGTCGTCGTCAACGCCGCCAACGTCGTCGCCGCCGCCGTCGCCGTCGCCGTCGTCGCCAACAATATTCACACTAACGTCCTCGCAGTCGATGTTGTCGTCGTCGCCATCGGCGTCGTCATAATCGTTGACGTCGCCGTCGACGACGTCGACGTCGAAGCCGTGGTCGTCACCCTCGTCGTAACCTTGTCGCCGTCGGAACCGTGGTCGTCGCCGTCGTGGTCGCGTCATCGTCGCCGCCGTCGCCGTCGAAGCCGCCGTCGCCGACGTCGTCGTCGTCACGGTCGTCGTCGCTGCCGTCGTGGCCGTCGTCGCTACCGCTGGCGCCGTCGTCGCTGTCGCCCCCGTCGCCGTCGTCGTCAACATCTTCGTCGCCGTCGCCGTCATCGTCGACATCGTCGTCGCCAGCGTTGTCGGCACCACCGCTGTCGTCGGCGTCGTTGCCGTCGTCGCTGTCGCCGTCGTAATCGTCGTTTTGAACGACATCGTCGTCGCCGTCGTCTCCGTCGCCGCCGTCGTCGTCGTTGACGTCGCCGCCGTCGTTGTCGACGACGTCGTCGTCATCGTCGTTGTCGTCATCGTCGTCGTCGTCCCCGTCGTCGTCGGAGCAGGAGTCGTGGTCGTCGTTAACGTCTCGGTCATCGCCATCATCGTCGTCGTCGTGGCCGCCGTCGTCCTATTGTCATCGTCGTCGTCGCGGCCGCAGTCGTCGTCCTTACCGTCGCCAGCGATGTCGTCATCGCGGTCGTCGTCGATGCAGTCGTCGACGTCGTCAACGACGTCGTCGTCGTCGATGTCGTCGTCGGCGTCGCCGTCGCCGTTGTCGACGTTGTCGTCAGCATGGTCGTCGTCGCTGCCGTCGACGCCGCCATTGTCGTCGTCGCCGCCGTCGCCGTCATCGCCGTCGCCGCCCTTCTCGTCAACGTCCAAGTCGCCGACGCCGTCGTCGTCGTCGTCAAAGCCAAAAAACATCAATGTCGTCGTCGCCGCGGTCGTCGTCGTAGTCGTCGCCGTCGTCGTCGCAATTGTCGTGGCCGTCGTCGTCGTAGTCGTCGCTGTCGTAGTCGTTGTAAACCGCGTTCTCGTTGCCGTCGTCGCCGTCGTTGTCAGCGTCGTCGCTGTGGTCGTCGTCGTCGTCATCGTCGTTGTCGTCGGCGTCGGCGTCGTTAATATGGCCGTCGTCGCCGCTGTTGTCGTCGCCGCCACCGTCGCCATCATCGCGGCCGTCGTCCTTGTCCTCGTAATTAACGTCGTCTTCTCCGCCGTCGTCGTCGTCGTTGGCGTCGCCACCATCGGCAGCACCGGCTGCGCGCGGCTCCTCCGGCGGCGGGACCACGGTTGCCGGCGCCAGGCTCGCGGCAGGCCCGTCCGCGCTGACCTCCTGAGCGCCGCGATGGGGGCCCGCAGGGTGGGCGGAGGGGAGAGGAGGAGAACGGAGGGGAGGGGAGGAAAGGTGTTGATCGAGGGGGACCATCGGCATCAACAGAACCTTTCGGAGGTCCGCGCTTGGACTTGCCACCGCTCGACGTCCATTCCCCGTGCATGCCACGGTTTCGTGCGTGCGTGTTTTGCTCAATGATCCAGGATGCTCCTCGATGGCCCTCTACGGGACAAACGAACGATGCCAAGCGGGTCGGCGCAGGACCCCCCCCATCCCCCGGCGTCCGTACTGACCTCCGGGGTTGGCCTCCCGCCGGAGCCGAGGGCTTCCTCCTATGGGAAAGGCAGTTTACATCTCGATTCTGGAGAAATTCTACTTGCATGGAGGGGGGGCCTCCTTCGCTGCTCTGCCTTTGGCAAGAGGCGGCAAGTTCGTAAGCGCGTCTTGGGTGGCCACACGGCAGGGAATGGGGACCGAGTAAGGAAGGCCCTGAGGGAGGGAGGTGAGAAGGAGGAGGATATGGGGGGGCGTGGTGAGGCCCGAAAGAAAAACTGAACTCCACGCGCGTCGTGATAAACTTGCACGACTGCTCGGCCCAGCGCTTTCGGAAAAAAAAGGCGGCGGAGGTGGGGGGGGAGTGCCGTGCAAGTACACTTGCCCGAAACTGAAAAACAAAAAGAAAAAAAACAGCCTCCCAGCGAGAGAAGAGGGGAAGGAACAGCGGGGCGAAACAAAGAACTGTCAGCCTCGTCGTCGTCGTTGTTGACGTCGAAATCGACGCAGACGTCGACGTCGCCGTCGTCGCCGCCTCCATCGTCGACGTCGGAAGCGGAACCGGTCGCTAATCTTAAGAGCCAGAAGCAACACACACACACACACACACCGGAATTTCACACAAAGGGTTTTGGCACAACCAACGGCGCAACGCATGTGCACCAATACCACTGGATCCCCGGCGATCCGGCCCAGGGTTGATGTACGGCCGTGCTCTAAGGTGCACTTGAAAGGTAAGGTGTGGCAGCGCTGTTGGCGGCGATAAGATCCCAAGCTCCGCTACCAACAGACATTCCATAGTGCTTTGGCACAGCCAAACCACCATGCAAGGTCAGTTTCTTCACCCGTTGACAGCAGCACGCGTCGCGGCAGCAGAACGCAGTAGCGCGCGAAGGCATGCAGGGCCGGCGATGCGGCTGGCCAGCGCGATTTCGGTAGAAGTGCCGAAATTCAAGTAAGATCGCTGCGGGCGTCGTATCCGGCGAAGCTGCATCGCACTGCGAGGCGCCGCGCCCTTGCGTTTGTTGCGCCAGGCCCCGCGCGCTCCTCGAAGCGGGAAAACAAGCTCTACACAGAGGACTCGCGCGTGCTCTTGTGGGGCCGGCCAAAGCGATCGTATACAAAAACAACTCATTTGTGCGCCCCCCGCATTGGCAATGTAACCACCCCGAACAACAAGGAAGGAACTACACGAGACTTCGCGGCACACAAAGGAATTACAGCAACGCCCTTTGGGTTGCGCTTTTCGCGCGCGGTGGCAGCGCCGAGCTGGAAAGGAAGGGGGGGGGCAGGACAAGGCTAAGCAGGGGAAGAGGAAAAGGAGGAGGAGGAGGAGGAGGGCGAGAACGAAACGAAAGAAGCAACGGAAGGAGGCCAGGTTGCGCGCAAGCAAAGCTAACACTGCGCGCCGAAACAGTTGTTCGTTCGTTCGGTTGGCCGTGCGGCATATGAATAGAAAAAGAATTCTTCGCTGCCAATCGAAGGGATTCGTTGGGAAGGAGACTCGCGCTCTCTTCCCAATCCCCTTTCCCACACCCCGTTGCGAGCGCGCGACGATGTGTTCTGGCACGCGGGCAGAGGACTGCCAAGTGCAGGTGAGCGGCCTGTCCACCCGTTACGCGTTCCAAAACAAATGCGACCAGCTAAACTCACTTGCCACACAAACCGTCAGCTCCAAACACCGATGCCACCCCGACCCCCGCATTCGTGCCAGGCACCCTCTCAACGACGCCCCGCTCCGGCGTAAAACCAATAAAACCCTTTGTGTTTATGAGTTTTCTACACGCCCCAATCAGTGCCTGTGCCGCGTCGACGAGTGGAGAACGGACTGGGAAGAGGGGGCGAGGAGTGGTGGTGAGGAGGAGGAGGCATGACGCCGTCTCCCCCCGAAACCCAGATGCCACGAATGTGTTCACAACGTGGGCCCCCAAAGATCTGGATCCCTTCTCCGAGACCGCCTGTGCTCCCGAACCGTACTTTGACGGTCCGTGGGTCCGGTGAGGGTCCCCGGAGGTCGCAGATCGCCGAGCATCTCACGCTGCGTTTTTTCTACAACGCGGAGAGGTCTGAGGAGCAAACGCGCTCAGAGCTGCCATCAAAGAGCGGCACCCAGCGACGAAAGTTGGCTGCTCATTCTGGGGACCTTCCTGGAGCCACTCGCTCCACTCGTGCATCGATGCTGCGTCGAACGTCCGTCGATTCGAGTCGACCTCGAGACGAACCTGAGCCGAACCTGAGTCGAACCTGAATCGGACCTCACTCGACCTAGAGTCTAACTGTGGCCGAATTGAAGTCGAACAGATCCGTCAGGTAGGGGATTTTGGAGGATAAATTTCAATAGGCGACACATACCCCAACAAACATAATAAAAAAGACTCCCCCCCCCAAAAAAAAACGCATCCCCAGACTATTGTTGGACTATTCGTGGATATCCCCCCTGTGCAGGGACAGGCCCGACTTACTGCCCACAAAAAGCGGCACCCAGCGACGAGAGGACGCTCCGGCGGCCGAAGCTCGGGTCGGGCGAAAGGGGGGGATAGCAAAGGGGGGGTTTGAGAATCAGCTCACGTAGCTGATTTTCCCGGCGCTTTCCGGCGCTGGAGGCGGCGATGTATCCAGGAATGGGCCCCTCGGTGAGGCCGAAACCAGCTGCATGCAGCAAATTTCGTAACCCCCCCTTTCCCAATCCCCCCCTTTCGCCCGGCCCGAGAAGCGCCGCGGCCCCCGCCTGCTGCGCGGGCGACAGCGGGCCCTGCCCCCGGCCGGAGTAGGCGGCGCCTGCCAGGGGGGGGGGGGGCGAGGCAGCACGCACGGGGGGCGGCAGAGCGCATGGCGGCTCCGAGGAGGGGAGGCAGGCGGAGACTGGCTCCTCCTGCAGGCAGATACTGCGGGAGGGAACGTCGCAACTGTTCCAGAGAGGCTCGGAAAGAGCCCCCTCGTAGTAGAAGAGTCGTCCCCAGACTATCTGTGGCTGGTTTCGGCTCTATTCCTGCTGTAGAGGGACGTGCCCGACTTCATCCCGAGCCCCCTTGCGTCATGGAACAACATGCACTGCTCTCGCGCATGGAACAACATGCACTGCTCTCGCGACTTTCGGCCTCCAGGGGCCCTCACAGGGCCCCGGGACCGTCGGTTGGCGGCGCGCAGAAAGGCAAATCAACTAAGTAATGCCGAACAGGGGAACCGGAACGAATTGGAACGCGCGCAAAATCAGGCCGCATCGGCAAGGAGTCGGAATCGAAGCGGATCGGCTGCGCCAAAATGGAAAACAGCGCCTTTTCAATCTCGGACCGCATCGAACCGAAAGAAGACAGGAATCAAATCAGATCGGGCCTGCCAGAGTTGTTGTCGAACCGGATCGCTTGGATCGAAATGGACCCTGCCCATGAATTGACGCAGGAAGGCGGCCTTCTAAGAAGCCTGGGGGAGGGGCCTTCATAGCAAGCGTGGGCGCTTCTTACAAGCCCTCGGGCCCTTCGGAGGAGGCCGCCCGCTTCTAAGACCAGGCAGCTCCTGGGCCCAGGAGAAGCAGCGCAGCATGGAGGCCTCAAGGATCCGGGTGGGGAAGCTGCCGACGGTTCTCGTGCCGCAGTTTTGCATCTGAAAGGGTTCAGTCTTGTCGTCATACTTTTGTACGGTCTATCGTCGGCTGGAATGGCAGGAGACAGCTTCATCATATTTCAAACGCAAGTGTCGCCAGTAAGGGCCCTCCAGCTGCCGAGGCTAGTCGTCGGGGATGATTCCATTATCCCGGGTGCCACTCTGGCTCGCAATGATCTCATCACCTCCATCGGGTTCGGATCGCCAGGGGAGAACTCACTACCACTTGCACTACCATCAAGAGAAGGCTCTCTGCCAGCTTCTGTAGTTGAGAGGAGCTGGGGCCTGAATCAATGCCGGTCTCGTCGCATCTGCCTCGAATCCACGCCGAAGCCATGCCGGAAAACCCCGCCACACCAGCGTCGGGTCCGCATCGAGCCCGCGTCGGGCACGAGCACGGACACCAGCTTCGGGAGCAGGCGAAGGCCCCCGAGGATGCAACGCGCACGAGAGCCAAGCACAGAAAAGGAGGGCGGGGCGTCGTCTCGCCATCGCTCGGACGTCCCTTTTTTAAGTTTGTTTCGGTTTCGTGCGTGGTTTTTTCCGCCAATTGGTCAAGGATGCTCCCCGATGGTACTCGCCGAGGAAAAAACGCACACGTCCGAGCGATGCCAAGTCGTGATCGAGCGGGCGTGCCGGTGCCCCTCCCAGCCGCCCGCCCTCGCCCATGGGCGGAGGCGGCGGAGCCGCGCCCGTGCCGCGCCCGTGCTTCGCGGGTCGGGAGGGGCCGTGGCCCCCCCTGGCCATCGCTCGGACGTCCGTTCCCTGTATTTTTTTTCGATTTCGTGCGTGGTCCTTTTTCGCCAATGGATCAAGGATGCTCCTCCAGGGTCCTCGCCGAAGAAAAAAATGCACACGTCCGAGCGATGCCAAGCCAGGGAGAAACAGGTGGGACTGGCTCGTGCCGTCGCCACGCATCGTTGGACCGATCCCCATCTCCGCTTCCACTGACGAGACAGCAAGCGCTCGAACGGGGAGGAGAAGATCAGGAAGGGCACGGGGATGAAGGCGCTGCAAGTGCTGGTGCGGGTTGTCGGACACCAGTCCGACAAGACACACCCACAGCCCCCCACCGAAGTAAACTCCGAGAACTCTCGGGGCCGCATAGGGTGTTAGTTGTCAGCTCATGATGCCACGGCTCTGGCCCCACTAGCCGATTCACCCCCTTGATGGGGTTTCGAGGGAACTGTCTCCAACTGAGGAGGTGGGATGGTGAGGCTCAAATACGTGACTCGGTGGGGTTGGGGATCCGTTAGACGATTCTGAACTCTAGATGCCGCGGTGAGGCTCCACGTGTCAAGTGGCGTCGTGTATGTCCCCGTGTCTGCTGTGCGTGCGCAGGGTCCTCTGGTGAAAAATCCCTTAAATGTGCGTTCGTTGGAAAAGAACACTGTTGTTTTGTCGTTCCTCTCCGTGTTGAAGGTCTTTCTAGCTTTGTTTTTGTTCCCAACCATCCTGTGGTGTTGGGTCCTCGTTTTGAAGAGACGGTCCCCGCGTTCTCCTTCTCCTCATCCTCCCCCTCCTCCCCTCCTCCCCCTCCTCCTTCCTCCCTGCGTTTCACCCACCCAGTACACAGCTTCGTGGCCCCATAGGGAGCTTCACCGAAGGCCCCAGTGGCGGGGTTCGCATGGCGGCCCCACTCCATTTTGGCGCACCCCTCACACGGTTCGTGGCCCCATAGGGAGCTTCACAGAAGGCCACAGTGGCAGGGTTCGCATGGCGGCCCCGCTCCATTTTGGCGCACCCCTCACACGGTTCGTGGCCCCACAGGGAGCTCAACCGAAGGTCCCAGTGGCAGGGATTCGCATGGCGGACCCGCTCCATCTTGGCGCACCCCTCACACGTTCCGTGGCCCATAGGAAGCTCAACCGAAGGTCCCAGTGGAAGGGTTCGCATGGCGGCCCCGCTCCATTTTGGCGCACCCCTCACACGTTCCGTGGCCTCACAGGGAGCTCCACCGAAGGCCCCAGTGGCAGGGTTCGCCTGGCGGCCCCGCCCCATTTTGGCGCACCTCTCACTCGGTTCGTGGCCCCACAGGGAATTCCCTTTGCTTCGTCCCACCTGCCCTGCGGTTCTCACGCTTGCGTATGGTTGGGTCCCTCGCCAAGATAATGATGTTTGGGGCACCGCTGCTGTTACGTTGTCAGGTGCAGCATAAGCCTGTGGCCCACCTGCCCGTGCTCATTGCGCCGTTGATTCGATTACTACCACGTCACAACTTTTCTACTTTTCTTGGGTGTCCTTTTACCACGTCTTGCTTAAAACACCATCGAACAATGCGAAGCGGGAACAACAGCTATGCCCCCCGCACTTTGAACGCACAACTGCGAATTGCCCCATAGAAATACCGGTCAAGACATGTTCTGCCTCACTTCTGTTGGCCGCCATGCCTGCGATGCGCATGGCATGCTGCTCTTCAACGGCCAAAGGATCCGCGCTGGACTGATTCCGGGAGAATCGGTCAAGAACGGAGGGGGGAGGGGCACAGACGAATGCGCTCAAAATCTCTGTGACCAAGCCCCTCCCAGGTCGAAACCGCGTCCAGCCGTGGCGACGAGGGAGCCCCTCTCTCCCCCCACTCAGGGGCTCCCACATGTTCTGCCGACGGCCCCAGCCGAACCACCCCTCTTAGATCGTGGAGCCCGAGGACAGCCCAGAACCCCGCCTTTGGAGGCCTCCCACATCTAGGGGGAAAACAAACCTACCTCGCTTTTGACCACCCTCGCTTCCAAGAGATACCAAGCGATGCCAAATTACGGCCTATACTGGTCAGGCCGCTTGACGAGGAGGCGCGTGGTATGACTTGGTTTTTCCTGGAAGCGAAAGCGGGGTAGGTATTTCACGCTCTGAACATCGTTCCCGAGCAGATGGTGTCGTCCACGACGACGACGACGACGACGACGACGACGACGACGACGACCCTGGAGCCAGTGCTCGGCAACCTCAGCCCCCCCTCGGGCTCCCACATGTTCTGCCGCGCGGCGCCGCGGCTGCGGCCGCCAGCACCGCGAGGCCCCGAGCGCACTCGACTCGCCGCCCGGCCACCCGGCCGGCCGTGGCGATGCGCCACCGCACGAGCTGCTCCGCAGGGTCTGCCGAACGCTGGGCGTCGATGTCGATGACGATGGTCGCTGGTCGATGTCGGCGTCGATGCGTCGATGTCGGATGCCAGCGCTGGCCGCTGTCGATGTCGGTATCAGGGGGGGGTGCTGCAACGGGGGGCACAATGGCTTTTGGAACCAGACGCCCGCCCTGTTAGAGCTGCCAAAGCGGGACACGGAGCCTCGGGCCGCGATTGCAAGGGTCGGGGCGCTCGATCTCGGCGAGTGCGAGCCGTTTCGAGCAAAGGCGCCAGCTGTTGCGGGCCACCGCCTGCGTGGGAATGTGAGCATTAGGATCGGGGATCGCCGTCTATCTCGAGGACATCAGTATGGCGACCCCCGTCCCCGACTTTGTGGAGATTCCGCCTGGGGCCATCCAATGGAGTGGGCGGGGAGTCGTCCTATCCTCTACGCGGCTGCGTCCGTGTAGCCCCATCGGGGTGTCTTCCCGAGAGTCCCTCCTACCGTAGGAGCTCGACCACAAGAAACCTTCCACAAGATACCCACCCTGAGACCCCAGTACGTCCATTGATTTCTGGTGTGGGAGCGTCACGCTTTCCATAGCGAATCCACCGAAACCCAATACACCCAGGGCACCCTGGAGGCAAGCAGGGTGCTTCTTGGCATGGGTCTCCACTAGAAAATTTGCTGTAACATTTGCTTTTGGGGGGGACTGGGAATAGGGTAGAGAAGCCGCCTGCTGGATGAGGATACATCGGGAATCTCTGAGAGATGGCGGGTCTGGAGGATGATGCATGGGGCGCCGCAACCGTTTCAGAACACTCCAGAACGCTGTGAGGGCATTCCCGAGCGCACTGGAGGGTTTTATCCTCATATCCGAGGCCCACCTTGACGAGCATTGTTTAGCGGATCCTCGTTCCACTAGTGCGACCTTGGCCCCACTAGTCGACTTACCCACCCGACCCAGATTGGGGTATG